TTCCATGGATATGGAGGGTGTGTCTTAAATGGGGAACACAAGTTAGTGTGTCTGTGTTGGATTTTTGCAGGTTTTCAGTTTGTGATTAGGCTTTGTGGTTATTACATCAGGTGTTGTTTGGGTTTGTGAAAAGATATATTAAATCTGTTGATGTAAATGTATATCATTGTTATGTATATTTGTTGAATTCACTATTTACATAAATATTATTTGTTTTGTGGTTCTCATCAGGTGTTGTTATGTGTTTACGTTCTATTGATGTTGTAAGGCAACAGCGTATGGGTTTGTTATCTGGTTTTGTAGTTGTCTTATGGATTGACTCATCTTTAAGACGGTTACAGCTTTTTGATTACTTCCTCTCTACACTATCTAATTGCCTAAGAAATACAGCTTGTGAGATTCAGGCCTTCCTTGTTATGGGTTTTAGCTCTGCTGTGTAACTTGTTTGTCATGGGTGGGGTCATGGGCAAAGTGGGATGAAACTTTTATGTTATAAAATGCTATTGTTCATAGATTGTATGTCCCCAAAGTATTAGAAATACATATTTATCAAAGTTCATTATAAAATATTTATGGTCCTGCAATTGTCAGGACGACCATGGTGCTTGCACACCATAAACACTTTTCTTGTTTGGTCCATTTGATCTTTATTGATAGGCGCTTTAGCTCTGCTTTTTCACTCGATACACTTAAACATAACCTGGATCTTTTACTGATAGTTCTTTCCACTACTACAAACAATGACAAATCTTTTTTGACCTGATCCTCGAAATGGCATGATATTGAACTATGGTGTCGTAGATCCCTTTGCTCTGCTTGTCATATTTTTGTTATCTGGTAGCTATCTATTGAATTACACATGACAACTGTATTTAGCTATTAAGTCTTTTGCTTTTTTTTTGTGTGTGGTTCACTGTAATCCTGCGGAATGCAAAGATTGATATGTTCAAGGTGACACGATCAACAAGTCACCACTACTTCAGATACAGCTACTACTCTGCTTGGCACTTGAATATTTATCTTTTTAACTTTGTTTCTTAACCGTGTGGTCTTTTTTTGGGTTGTCCATAGGGATGTTAATATGGGTAATTACCCATGGGTTTGCCCAAACCCATTGATAATGGGTTGTGTTTTTATCCATCTAAAACTAATTGGGCTAAACATGGGTATAAAATTTTAAAACCCATATTAGATTGGGTAAATACAAGGGGGTAATGGATACCCATGGGTTTTAATATCTTTTCTTTTAATGTTTTAAATAAACCATAATTTTATTTTTTCTATCCAAACTTAAAAAAATGAATTTATCCGTCAAAACTGTAAAACGAGTTTTTTTCGCCAAAATCGGAAAATTGACTTTTCCTGCAAAACCGCAAAAACGTGATTTCCCGTCAAAACCGGAAAACATGTTTTCCCACCAAAACTGGAAAAATGTGTTTTCCCGCCAAAACTGGAAAAAGTGTTTTCCCGCCAAAAACGCAAAAACGTGATTTCCCATCAAAACCGCAAAAACGTGTTTTCCCGCCAAAACCGCAAAAACGTGTTTTCCCGCCAAAACCGCAAAAACGTGTTTTCCCGCCAAAACCGCAAAAACGTGTTTTCCCGCCAAAACCGCAAAAACGTGTTTTCCCGCCAAAATCGAAAAACGTGATTTCCCGTCAAAACCGCAAAAACGTGTTTTCCCGTCAAAACCGCAAAAACGTGTTTTCCCGTCAAAACCGCAAAAACGTGTTTTCCCGCCAAAACTGCAAAAACGTGATTTCCCGTCAAAACCGCAAAAACGTGTTTTCCCGTCAAAACTGCAAAAACGTGTTTTCTCGCCAAAATCGAAAAACGTGTTTTCCCGCGAACCGAAAAACGTGATTTTCCACCAAAACCGCAAAAATGTGTTTTCCCGTCAAAACCGTAAAAACGTGTTTTCCCGCCAAAATTGCAAAAACGTGTTTTCTCGTCAAAATCGAAAAACGTGTTTTCCCGCCAAAACCGCAAAAAACGTGATTTCACGTCAAAACCACAAAAACGTGATTTCCCGTCAAAACCGTAAAATGTGTTTTCCCGCCAAAACCGCAAAAATGAGTTTCCGGCCATACTGGAAAAACTAGTTTCTAGGAAACAAAAATCTGCATAATCTCTTTAGAACAAATAAAATAGTAGCTTGGGTACCCATGGGTTAACCTATATCCTACTGGGTTATTTTTTTGGGTTTTAAATTAACCTTGATGATTGTGGGTTTTTGTGGGTAGGATATAAACTGGGTTGGGTTTTTTGTGGGTTGGGCTGGGCTGGGTTATTTTACCCATTTTAACATCCCTAGTTGTCCAAGCTTGTAATTTCTTTAGAGCTATTGATGTCAGTTTTTTCGTACACTTGACCATTTTGATTAGGGCTTCAGCGTTCACGACATGAAATCTATTCTATTAAAACAGCAGCATGACCAATTGATATATGTTGTGTCCAACGATTATTTTTAATATCAATATTACAACTATTGATAACTGTATTTACTTTAATTTAAAAACTAACCACGTTCTCTTTATATAAAGTTCTATAAGGAAACCAGTTATGATTCTTCCTGCAAAAGTCAGTTCGATCAGTATTATTAACACTCAATTTTTCATGATTTTAACCGAGTTGCAGAAATTCAGCAAAAAAAACAATCATGTTCTCTCAGAAATCATTCATGCAATTATTTGTAAACTATGAGTCTAGGTTTCATATTGGTAAGAAATTGTGCTTCTGTTCAACTGCAATGGTTGGATTATTGATTAATCTATTTACATATATCGTTCAAAAACATTGAGTGCTAGGCAGTGAAATCAAGTTTATCAAAATCATTCAAGTTTTTGTGTGTTTTAAGACTGGGTGATAAATAACAAATCTTCAATTTTGATGCATAAATGAAAAGGAAACATAAAAAAATTAGATCAATTACGTTTGCGGTGACGGCGATGGAAAAAAATTGCAGAAAGATAGAAACCTTGATAAATGGAGAAGATAAAGTATTTACATATTTGCCATTAGTGAGAAACAAAGAAATAAAAATCCAAAAATTTAGATCTTGCTGCGAAGCCATATAATCTTTGATAATAGCCGTTTCTTTTACCACCAGACAACAATGGTTCATTGACTTTTGCATCGAAATATGCATATATATTTTGTAACAGAATATATTAAAATTAATTTTTCAAACATTTTTTTTATCAAAAAAAAATTGTTATTTTCGTTGCGGATTGGGTTTGATATTAGTTTTTTGATATAACATTTTAAAAACCATTTGAGTATATAGGCTAATAGATTATGCGACTTTAATTTTTGGGTTGATTTCGAGTCAATTCTATTTATACGAGTATTTTTGACTAACTATATTAGGTAACTAATAAAAAATATAATATGTTGAATAAAATTAAAAAATAATGTTTAAAATGTGTAGGACATAAATGTATAGTTATGCAACTTAGCATATTTAATATAGTTATCAAAAATTTATATTAAGTTAAATTATGATTACAAAAAAAAACACAAAGACTTTTTTTCTCACAGCTTTACAATAAACATAAGCACCAAAATTAAATTTCTCAAAAAAAATTAAAAAAAAGTATACATACCCTTTCAATGCATAATTTGTTTAGAGCCATTTTAAAATTATGATAACCTTTGTACATAAAGTTCTACAAATTCTAAAAAATATAATATGTTGCAAACTTTGGAATAAAATTAAAAATAATGCCTAAAATGTATAGGACATAAATGTATAGTTATGCAACTTAGCATATTTAATATAGTTATCAAAAATTTATATCAAATTGAATTATGATTACAATAAAACACTAATACTTTTTTCTAACAGCTTTACAAAAAACATAAACACCAAAATTAAATTTCTCAAAAAAATTAAAACAAAAGTATACATGCCCTTTCAATGCATAATTTGTTTAGAGCCATTTTAAAATCATAATTTATTTAGAGCCACTTTAAAATCATGATAACCTTTGTACCCCATTATCACGGCTAGCAATCGGGGGCCACTACCCTGATAATTATACTAATATATCTTAATTAATCAAATATTAAACAACAATTAAATAAAGATGTGAATATGTAGGGGACAACTTAAAATATGTTACTTTTGTTCTTACAATTTGTTTCCAAATAATCTGGACCATATAAAATATATTTTCGGGATCTACTAATCGGAAGAACTTTTTGTAAGTTAAATAACTATGTGAATAGTAAGAACATTTAAAATGGCTAAAAATATATAATAAGGTAAATTAATTTAATATCTGTTAAAATAAATCACTAAAATAAAATCAAGTTAATTAACAACCAATTAAAATGCGCGTCTGGTGTTTCAAATTCTTAAAAATAGTTCCATTAATATAAAAAATTAAATCATAAACACTAAATTTAATAAATTGCAGAATTTTTTTTTAAAACACACAAAAATAAATTTTATCAATACAGAGCGGGTAAAAAATATGAAATATTTTATTTAAATTAAAATATTAAAAATAAAATCAGTATGAAATAAATTTAACGACAGGTTAAATAAAAAAAATCATAATACGGATCAGACTTATTTGGAGTCTTCAAAAATTTAGTTATATTTAAAATAACAAAAATAAGTCATATGATTTATAAATTACTTTCAAATATATTTATTTAATTATATAACAATAACTAATTTATACACTCGATTCATATTAATTAACTTTCATTGTGAACTCCTAAGTGGCCGAGATCACTTTTCAAAATAACTAAAATTGCCTATTGACTTTAATTCCATAACTTATGTTTCAAATTGAGAAAAAAAAATAGCAGAGCAAAAATATGATTATACAAACACACAAACATATCAATTATATTAGGTAAATTTTTTTTTAAAAAAAATTATACCCGCCCTCTTGAGGGCGGGTCAAAATCTAGTTAATTTTTAAAATAGTATTATAGAGGTTTTCTGACGTAACTGAGTTTTTGTAGGAAAAATATGTATCCAGTGGGAAATATTAAACATTTCAACTTATTTTTCTGTTCGACTTTATAATGTTCAAGTCTACACCATACCCCTTTTGACTTTATGTTCAGTCATTTCATGAAAATTCAAAGCAAGCACATAGTTTTTTTTTTAATTGAGAATCAAATACAATAAAAACAAAAAAAGTAGAAAGAAAATGTGGAAAACAAATCTGACAAGAGTCAAACAGATTGCCTGGCAAATTGCTGACTTCCGTTAACAAAATCAATAAAGCCTCAACGACACCGTTTTATGACTACGTACAATCCCCACCGACCTCGACTTGCTCAGCTTCATCATCGCCCCCGTCTTCCCTAATCTTTCCCTCTCCACAAGAACTCTTATCGTCGTAACAACCTTATCATCCTCAACGACGCCGTTTGGATCCGGTCCAACTCTCGCTCCCCCCATCGCACCAACTGATCTCGACCTCAGCACACGGTTCCGACGAGTAACCGCCTGCTCCGGGACTGTATCGTCCTCAGTGAATACCTTGTTCATCTTCTTCTTCGCGCTCCCTCCTCTCACGATCCTCACATTGATCTCTTCCTTCTCTTCACTAACGTTAACGTTTTCCGATCCGTCTCCGGTTCTCCGCCGTAACCGATTCCAAACCGGAGACTCCTGAGCCATCTTCCGCACCGTCTTCAAGCACTCCACAACCTCCGACATATCAGGCCGCTTCTCCGCCGTCGATCGCACGCACCTCGCCGCCATAACAACCAATCTCCGGATCGCGGCGGAACTCGGACGGTTCCTGATCCTCGAATCGCAAAGCGCTCCGTACTCGCCGCGTCTAGCGAGAGGCACCGCCCAGTCGACGACACACGGCGGACTGTAATTCAAATCAATCGCGTCTCTACCGCTAACAATCTCGAACAACAGTATCCCGAAGCTGAACACGTCGCTCTTCGCCGTCAAATCCGCCGGCGCTAAATACGACGGATCTAGATATCCCATCGTTCCCGCCGGCGGGGTGGCTTTCAGACGCTCATCGTCCACGTGTCCGATCAAGGCCAATCCGAAATCGGCTAATCTCGCGTTTCCGTCGCCGTCGATTAGAATGTTGGACGATTTGATGTCGCGGTGGATGACGGGAGTCTCGGCTGAGTGGAGAGCGTGGAGAGCAATCGCGATCTGAAGCGCGTGTTTGATTCTACGGTTCCAACTAAGAGGCGGTTGTAACGAACTGCCACTACGAGAGTAGTGCAAGTGATCATGAAGCGTGCCGTTAGACATGTACTCGACAACTAACAGCTTCGTCTTCCTCCGTTGGTCAACGCAGTAACCGATTAAGTTGACCATGTAACGGTGACGAACACGTGACAGAATCTCGATCTCATTGTCCACCTGGCTCGCGCTTGCGATCGTGGTTCGTTTGACGGCGGCGAGGAGCTTCCCGCCGTCGAGAACCGCCTTGTAAACTCTCCCGTGGCTGCCTTTCCCGAGGAAGTTACCGGCGGAGAAGCCGTTAGTCGCGGCGGCGAGTTCGTCGTATTTGAAGACACGGAGCGGCGTTTGAGGAGGAGGTTTCTTTGATCGGCGAGGGTTGCAGTTGTATGGATCGCAGATGGAAACTGCGGATTCAACGTTGCAGGAGAGGTATCCCATGAGGAGAGGTAGAGAGAGAATGAGAGGAGTGAGAGAGGAGCATGTCTGAGATTTTGAAGGAGAAGAAGAGGGAGTTGAGATCACTGTTGAATAGCCTTTGATGCAAGAAAGCAAGAGAAAGATAGTGTGAAAACAATCAAAAGTGTTTTTTTTCAACCTACTTTCTTTCTTTTACCTTTTTATTCTCTCTTTATTTCAAAGTTGCTCAATTATTTTTTTTATTTTTAACGTGTGTGTATCTGTGCATGAGTGAGCGTAATCATTTCCATAATTTCATGATTTACCAAATTATTTGCGCATTGATATAATGATACACTTTTAGGAGTAAAGATTCTGCATACACTAATGAGATGGTAGTGTGAATATACGCCGGATATATTGGTGGATAATTGATGGCAATAAACTCGATACTAAAGTTAATTTCCTGTTTTCTCTGTTAACGAATTAGGGAATACAATTATGTCATATACGGAAATAAATACTTAGCCTTGTTTTTTTATGGTACGGTGCAATAATAGATTTTTTTGGACTAGACCGTAGAATCTAGATCCCTTTGGCTTTGGGAATGCGACAAAGCGACAATTATGATGAAGGATGGGAGTACAAATATTTGTAAAAAAAGGTGATTATGGTAACTCTCATGTAACGTACGTTAGATCATGATTCCCGAATTTACGTCTCTCTGTTCGTTCCCAAGTCAACTTACTGAAATCAAGGAGATAGATCGGTTACTATCTAACTGGCTTTCTAGACTCTACCCTCGTCACATGTGATGTTTGGGCTTTGGAACTTCCGGCTCATAATGGTCGGCAATGTTTAGTTATTATGACTGAGACTGGCACTGTTTGTTTTATTCGACTTTCTAAACCTTATCTATATTCAGTTTTACAGAATCAATAAGATTCGCCTAAACAGCAAATTAATACAACCCGTATACCATTATGAGATTTCAAGAGCAATGCTAAGAATTGTTGGGAAATGAATATTACAGTTGATGCAAATATATTACCAAGACGTCGATTTATTCATCAATGATAAAATAACTTCAATTGCCAACAAACTACAACGACCTACAATACAGGCGATGGGATGAAGGAGACTGATTCAACAATGCACTTGGATCTTTTATAAAGTAATAGCAAAAAAAAACATTTGCAGAAACATTTGTTGTTATGGTTTAAGAATCAACACAAGTGGTCTTAAAACTCTTAAACAAATCTTCCTGTTTTACTGCAATGGTGAGAAGGAGAGTCATCCATCTACAACACAACAGAAACAAACGATATATGAAGCCCATTAGAGACTTTCCACACGTAAAATAAAAGATAAAGGAGTAAATCTTGTGACCTAAGAGACAGCGACTCAGTTTATTAACACGTCTTAAAGTTTCTTTCTATAAACTGTCCTAAGATCATGTTCAAGAAACAAGTTTTATATCAGCACCACCTTGGCTTAAGACTGCATGCATCGCTGACCTCTCCTTAGTAATTCATCATACATCATCATTGCAATCTGAGTGAATACAATTGCATCAGTGTGATTCTTACACTGATTCCGAGTTCGAGGTGTTCAGAGAAAAATATCAAGCATATGCAAACATACAACACAAACGCACAGAATCAACCACTATTCTAGGAAAAGAATTTCCTAAGGTTCCGTTATCTATGACTACGATGAAAAATCAAGTAAAACACCTAACTCTTAAGACTAGAGGATAAACAAACTCACATCATTTGTGTTGAAAGATCTTCATCTAGTCTCGTCTAGACCTACAAAGGAAAGACAAGATGATTTGTTCTCAATGTATGCAAGAAATTTGAATAACTGGGTATTGACATGTAAAAGAGAACTATGTTATCCTCGACTTCAAAAGTGGAGTATACTAGAGAAACATTAGATTCCAAAAAAACTGTTAGAAAATTGACCTCCTATCATTTTTTTAAAAAAAGACACCTTAAAAGAATAGACCTAAGAACATCAGTACTGTAACGAATCCAGACATACACATAATCACACCAGAAACTCAGGATCCACAAAACAAGATCTCGAAGAAAGTAACGCCTATAAAAGCTAGCAACAACACATCAACAATGCGCACACAGAGGTTCCAGAGAAGTTGAGAGTTAACATATGAACAGCCATTACATATATTTCCGAACAATTACCTTCTATATTAAACTTAGCTAACACCAAACATATGATATAACATTGCATCAGTACCATACTATTAACCAAAAGAATGTTCAAAGCTTAGTTCAATCATCACTCAACTAACCATATGTACTATTATCATCAAGAGCATCGCAAATGAACAGAGTGAAGTACCTTCAACGATCCAACCACGGCGTGAAGCAGAGAGCATCGAATTAAGCAAAGCGGAAGCAGTAGCCGTGTGGTAAGGGAGCATCGTCTCCACGCAGCAGCTCAATTCAACCGGAGACCTTTCAATTTACAAAATCAGAATGCAACGAATCAAAGAATCAGTGTTTCAGAAATGGTTCTAAGGCTTACCTGAAAATGCGGTTCGAAAGAGGGCTCTGTTTAGGCATCCGAAACGCGGGTCGAGAAGACGACGGCATAGGTTTGGGTCCGGTTGAGAATCTTGACGCGGCGGCGGATGCTCTGCTTGCCGCGGAGCGGAAGACGGATCTTGCGGCGGACATTGGACGTTTGAGATCTTTCGATTGGGTTCTCTCTCTCTCTTTTTTTCTTTGAGGGAGAGAGTTTAGGGCTTATGCGTAGGGTTTTTGTGAAAGGGGAGGATCTAGTGAAGCTGTGCTTACGGTAAGCTTGATGAAGTTGCTAGCTGGATGAGTGACACGCGTTGAACCCGAAATTAATAAAATAAAAAGTAATTTCTTTTGAGTAAAATAGAAGCTATAGTTATTATTATTTTTTTAACACTAGAAGCTATAGTTAATATGTAATTTTTATAATGTAAAAACCATAAGCTGTATAAGGAGTGTATATCTTATATTGTTGCTAAAAAAACATTAATCGATACGAAATTGTGTTTGTAACACTGTAACAGAAAAATATATTGCTACAACAACAAAAATATAGTAACAAATAATATTCACAAAAAGGCATTGTATCATATGTTCTAGGATATTATCGGATGTATACAGAAGCTGTCCCTGAGATGTTGAGGTTCATATAACATTTATTTTTTTGTTCATATAACATTTTAGTAACGTTTTAATAGAAAACTTATTTTTTATAGACTTAGAATCTTTTTCTGTGTTAGTTGTTTTTTTTTTTAAATTGGGGACCCTAATCCAGTGTTTCATTCACTATGCTCAAGACCACCCTAGGATGTATACACTAACACACATTTTATTTGGAACATTTTGATATGCTAATAAATTAACTACTACAAATTCATTATTTTGGATATTGAAAATGGTGTAACACAATTGGGGTCAACACAAAACTCCATGAATAAGCATGTTTGTAAATCCATTTTCTTTACAACGAACGGCAATAAGCATGTTTGTAAATCCATTTTTTTTACAACGAACGGTTAATAAGCATGTTTGTAAATCTATTTTTTTTTACAACGAACGGTTAATCTATTATTATCTGTAAGTTCATTTGTGGTCTCTCTATGTATACATGATCAAATAAATGAAAAAGAGAGAAAATCAGATGAATAACTCATCTGAACTTTTTTTTGAGAATCTCATAAAATATTTTCAACACATATTTTATACGAATAGTTTAAATTTCCTTTATATCTTGACATTTAATAAAACAACTACATTAGATATATATACATATGAATAATTTATATGAAATAATCAAAAGATATCCGATCAAAGATTAGTTATTAAAAGGTGTACCAAAACTAATAAATCAAAAAAGGGAAACTATAACTTTCTCCTCTACGTTGGCGTGATTAACGGAATTTGAAATCTTCTTTTCTTCGTCAAGAGGTGGATTTTCATTGTAAGTGTCCTTGTCTTTTACTTGTCGCGGCGTTTGTCTTTTCTGGCCATATATCACCATTAACCTTAACCGTATTATATATTTAAAGATGCATAACGATTTTAATTGTATAAACAATACGTTTTCACTGCTATACATATGCTACGAAGGCCAGAAACACGAATATTGGCAACCAAAGCTTAGCGGGTCGAGAAGAGAACCTAACTGAAAATTAGTGTTTTGATATTCTGGCGTTTTCTGTGTGTTTGATTGTTTGTTAGCTATTTGAAAAATCATATTTCATATTTGTATAAGAATCAGAACTGCTTATTTAATTTTTAACAAAGTTTCCCATTAAAGCTGAGTTATGCAGTAAAATGAAGTAGTAGTGTGATTACACCTTTAGACCATCTATAATCCAAACTTATTTTCTTCTTTATAATTCTTACAAAAATATAGTAAATCTATTTTAGAATGAACCATTGGAACAAAAATCACTCTAAAATATAGGAACTCTATTTTTGTAAAAATTATAGAGGAGAAAATAGATTTGGGTTAGAGATGCCCTTATCACCGGTAATTAATACAAGCTCTGTAACTGTTGGTGTATCTTTTTTTTATAACAGTTAAAAAAAAACTGTGGTGTATCCATCGCAACTAATATTCAGATGCACAATCGATTTGTAACTATTGGTGTAGCCATCATTCTCAACTAAAATGAACGTAATAGTGTGATTACACCCATATGACCAATAAGAATCAGAAAGTCCCAGAATCAGAACTACAATACATAATTTAATTTCTAACAAAGTTTCTAATTAAAGCTGAGTTATGTAGTAAGAGGACGTATAGTTGTGATTACACCTTATATGACCAGTAATTAATATAAGTTTTGTAACTGTTGAACTATCCACCCCAAATAACATTCAGAGGCGCAATCGAATTTTATGGCATCTACAATATGTCGATTTTAATAACGATATACTGCACGTTTTTTTTTCTCACGATATATGTTTTCTAGACTCATAAAACTAAATGCTGGTTGTGCAGGTAATTATTGTCTCTTTTGCACTTCCACTAGTGAGGAATGGGCATCTTCATGTCCCCCCAGTCCCCCATTATAAATCATTAAAAGCAGTCACGTTTGGTCCCTTTAAAATTATGGATCCATTGTCCTTAACTATCTTTTTTCTAACAAAATAACCAAAAAGTGATAACAAATATTTCTGCTTGAATCAAAAAGTGATAAATTAATATATAAGAAATAACATTAAGTAGCACAATATTCATTCTTTTCTCCGAATATTATATGCAAAAGCAAACATATTTCAACTGAAAACACACAAAACCCCCATATCACTTTTCCACTTTCAATTGTTGTAGTGATAAACAACGATTAAGTTTGACTAATCAACCATAAGTAAAATAACTTAGTTGAAATGAAAGAAAATACATTTACGAGTGTAGTGATCTCCAGAGGAAATCAAATAACTAATTAATATTCATCAAGGCTTGAACTGGTCTCCTTGCTCCTCAACGAACCCTTCAGGCTGTTCGTTCATCATGTTCTTCTCCCACTTGGAATTGTACGGATCCTTGAAGCTCTTCTCCTCCTCGTTGTTGTTTCCGTAGGAATACGACTGGTCGAAGTTATTATTCTCGGTCGCCTGAGTAGAATAATAACCGCCAGGGCTTTTCTGATGAGGTTTCCGGTAGAAATGACCGTGGTTTCTATCGTTGTAAAGGTCGTAGTAGTAGTTACCTTTCTCCATGAATCTTGTGTCACTCATGCCTTGCCTCTCCATATTGTGGCTGTAACCTTTGTACGGCGTTTCACGTTCTAACTCCGTTCCGTAAGCGTTAGAGTTGTAGAAGTTTCTCTTGTCTTCATTGTTCTCAGAGAATGACTCTTCCTTAACGTTTTCATCATACTTGTTATTGTTGAACTCTTCGTTGTTGTAACGGTTGTTGTCGTAGTTCTCGGTCTTCTTCGGGTAGCTCTCCTCGTAGTTGTTGTAAGAGGACTCTTCGGTCTCGCTCAGGCTTGGAGTTGAGAAAGTCTCACCGTTAAATTTCTCATCGTACTTGTTGTTGTTGAACAACTCTTCTTTGTTGTTGTTGTAGGTGGTTTCATGACCATATAAGCCATAGCCGTTTTCGGACTCGGGGACAAAGGTGGGATCTTGTTCTTGTTCTTTCTTGTTGGGGAATGATTGTTCTACTGTGGTTTTCTGGCTGGTCTTGAGAGGGAGGACATTGTTAGAGTTTTGGTCTTTGGGGGATTCTCGGTGGAATTTGCCAAAGAAGTAGCTATCTCTTGCATTGATTTGAGTGGAGAGAAGAACAAGTGTTGTGAAGAAAAAGAAGATGGAGGTTCTAGTGGAGAAAGCCATGATGTGTTGTGGAGTGTGATGGGGAGAGACAATGTGATATTGTGGATTTATTGAGAATGGTGTGTGCTTATATAGTGAATGAATCTCTTTGAGTTTTTTTTCTTTTCTTTTATATTTTTCTTTAGAAATTGTTGACATTTCTTTTGTTTTAAAATTGAAGTCGTTAGGTGCAAATGGGGACTGGATAGGTGATAATAGTTGATCGTGGGTCCAGTAGGATGAGATGATTTCAAAGAGGTTGCTCAGCTTTTTGAGTTTTTTGCCTATATGACTACTTTATAAGAAAAAGGTAATAAACCACTTTTTATTTTTATTTTATTTTAAACTTCGACTAATTTCGTTGAGATGAAAACATGGGTCGTCCTCTTGTCTTTTCTTTGTTTTCCTCCATCTATGTCATCGTTTCTTAGAGCATGTACATCAATGAACCCCTCTTGGGGTTCATCTTTTTAATATTTTATTATTTTATTTTTTTCTGTCAGATTTTTTTTTAAAATAAAAATAAAAAAAATTAATTGAACCAATCTCCTTTCGACACGTGGTGAACTCCACCCTCTTGGGATTCACCGGGATGAACTTTTGGAGAGAGAAGTTCATCACTGTTCATCTAGAAAACTGTGTGAACCTCCTTATAAACTCCTTATGAACCTTCAATGCACATGCTCTTAGTAGCTGAGGAGTTGTAACCAAATTCAAGTCCTTCCATTATAGATTTGATTCCTTCTGCTTTTTATCATTTCATCTCTAATATGATTTGTTAGATTTCTCGCATAAAACTGAGATTTGCATCGACATGTTAACATACAAAAGTAACTAGTCAATCACTAAATTATTTCGAACACATTTTCATAATTATTTTTCCTTTTGCTTATAGTTCTCAACAGAAAGATGGCACACATCTAATGCTAATTAAACCTCAAAGTTTATAAGTTAATACCATTTATATAATGGATCACACACCAAACGAAGATTGTGATTTATCAGACTCTAAATTTTCTAATTATGTAAATAATTATATACTTTAATCATTATCATAACAAATTTATGGATATAAGATGTAATTCATAGTTTACTAAGACCATCTCTAATGTATTCCTCTATTTTTATTTATGAAATATAAGAATTCTACAGTAGAGATTAATTTTGTTCCAGCGTATTTTTTTTTTTAAAATAAATCTTCAAATATAGAATAAAATATAAAGAAATAATATTTCGTTTAAATGAAAATATCAATGTGTTAGAATGATTTTATCCTCTAAATACTATTATAAAATCAAAAATAAATGTTTGTAGATGCTCTAAATTATTATCATATATCTCAAATGCTTTGTACACGAGGCCAATCAACATGGCTATTTCTTAATGACAATATTTTTATCTTAATAAAAAAAAATTCTTAATTATAGCCGTAAACGATGACAATAATACATTTTTTTTTCAGTGTTTCAAATTAATATTGAAAAGCTGGAAAATTTGTGTTATTTATAAACCTTTTTCTTTCTAATCCAGCCTACTACACTTACCAACATAACAGTGTCATGTTGATCATTAGATAGCCTCGAGATGCTTTCTTATGTAAAATCACTTTACAGTTGTGTCACATAGCTTATGATGTCTTCTAATTGTCTCAACTTTCCCATCTTCAAGCAAACCCAAAATTACATATGATCATTATTTCAGATGGTCAGACAAAATCACATTTAAGCTAAATTGAAATGCACCAGCAATTTTATCACGCAGTCATAACCATTATTGCCTTCTAACTGTAAGAAAACAAGAATGATTACTGGTTTGATCCGATTATAGCACTCACATGATTACATTTCCAACTGAATATACTATATGAATTTGTTATTGATGGGAGGTGAAGAAAAAATAAATATTCCGATCTTTGGATTATGCATTTCTATATTTTAAGGCAATTGTGATTTGCAAATCTAACAAGAGTTTTCATTGAAATTATACAAGAAATTTTTTTCTATCCTACTATAATATTTTATATATAGAAAATAATATAGTCTTAATTTATTAGGTTAATACAAATCAGATATATTTTTGACTCAAGAGAAAATATAACGAAAATATACATGTGTATTTAAAACTAAGGGATTAGAGACATATTTAAAATAATAATCAATAAATAAAATATAATATAAACAATTAAGTATTCTTATAAAATGTAGTTTTACTTCTATTGAAGTTTAAATAAAATAAAACCAATTTCTTATTTTTTCAAATTGAAAAGTTAAACCAAACCAAAGAAATAACACTGATGAACTAAAATTTAAAATAATGTTAAAATGCAAACTAATTTTTATTAATTAAATAATTATACAAATATTATTATCTATGTTCATGGTGCAGGAACTCGGAGTTGATATGTTCATAATGATGATTTTTTTTGGGGGGGGGGGGGTTTGATTGAATTACTGAAACATAATGTATAACTTTGTAGATAGTGTAAAAATATATTACAAACCCTTTAATAATACATATATCAAGCAGAACAAAAGTTTGCTTATTTTTGTGGTGATTTCAGTTTATTAAAAAAAGGATAAAGAACCAATAGAAAAAAAAAAACAAAGGAGAGAGAGGCCGAGTAATAATGCGAAGATTGAGGAAGTTTGTGGGATTGGGGCATCTCAATTACTATGGATACACCAATATACACATCATGTGACCCTTAGAAACTATGCTCTCTAGTCTCTATTGAGTCATTGACTATTGTGTTCTGTGTGACTAAATTTCTTCATGTCTATATTTTCATTATGCATAGATACACTAATAAGAAATGCAACTTAATTCAAGAGACGACCCTATAAATTTTCTAATTTATTTATCTGGGTAGTTAGGTTTCTCTGTAGTAGCTAATACATTTATCGGTGACTGTTATCTAACATCAAAAGTAGATAGATGATATGAATTATACTAATTTTTTTTTTACAAACAAACAAATAAATTGTCAACGGAAAATGATAAAAAGTTATTAAATAATTTCCAGCAACATTGAGTAATTTGTGGAGATGAGTATGAGAGATTGTGAGAGAGTAGGTACTTCTCGTTCTCAGACATATATGGGACATAACAACCATCATAAAAGCTAAAGAGTATAAAAGAGAATAATAAAGTGCCTGTGACCTTCAACAAAAAAAGGGTAAAAGGAAAAGAAAACAAGAGAAGATCTGCAGTAAAATAGTAAGCAATTCGGTGGAAAAGAAAAACAAAAAAATATAAGAAATATATAGAAAAGAAGTGAAATATAAGACCAATACAATTTATCAATCAATGACTCAAAATTGTTGGGGGTGGAGATTATGTGGCGTGACTGACGGAATGGGATAGACAAAAAGAGGTCGTGTGGTGGGAGTAGTCGAGCCGTGTAGGACCATGCAGGCAAGCAACCCTCTTATTCTTTTCTCCTGACTACGTATAACATATTATAATTTAACGTATACTAAAAGGTATTCAGGCTACAATTTCTAAATCTAAATCCGAACGGGAAATTGCAAAATTGAAATCTTTGAATGCAATGATTATTTAAAAAAATACTATCTAATTTAAGTGTCTTTGATGTTTTATATCTATATATATTAAAGTAAATAATATTTTATTTTAAAATAATATGTTTATTTCATCCACTGAAGATTTTGAATTTATTGGTTTGTTGTTATCGCCTAGATGGACTTATGTTGCTAACAGGTCATACCAAAAGTAAGGCTCCTGCTCATATGGGGCCGTCAACTATTGTGCCTGTTTCCAATGCGAAGAGGAAGAGTTGATTTCGACTACACAGCTCATACTTCGTAATAGACTTGCAGCAATGGAGTCAAACTCTCAAGGAATTTCGACTTTTCTTTCTAGGAAAGAAGGGGCTTAGTGCTCAGCACTGCCACCTTTTGTCTCTCAGTAAAGAGTTTTTTTGGGAATGTAAAAGGCCTTAATGGCGACGAAAGAAGCTCACCAGCATCAGTACTACCACAAACTTATATTTTCCCAACGACCCTGATGGAAGGTTTGATGCGTCCATTCGTGTCCATCTGAATCTTTCAAAATATATAGATTAACATAAATACTATAACCAAAGGAAGCAATAGCTAAGGCTAGCCTTCTCTCATAAGGTATCATATGACATGATAAAGAGGTATAATATAATATAATGACATCACCAAGAAGACGAGCTGTATAACAGTATCCCACCAAAGCATTGTCCATATCCTCCAGACTGGGTAGGGCAACGTCCTCTAGTTATTATTCTCCATGATTCTTGAGTTCCCAGTGTAGAACCCAAGGCTGATCGGTATATTCTTCATATGGTACACAAAGTACTTTGTGTTTACCCTCCAATGGATTGTATCCTAAATAAGGCATACAACTTTTACTATGTGTTCACTGGGATGTGGTATGGTTAAAACCCTCCCAAGTTTGGGTTCCAAATTCGGACGCTGTCAGATAAGAAGATTAGCTGAAGACGTCGTGGCTGTTTTGAGGACCGAGACGCGAAGGAGTTGATACAACTAGGAAGTGTTATAAAAGAAGACCAAAGCTTTGACACACATCGAATTCGCAGGAAGTCTTGACACTATCTCCAAGGTTAGATCACGAGGAATATGGTCTTGTTGTGATTTATGATCATCTTCATGTGTTGCTCTCTAGATTATTCTTCTGTTCATCCATGGCGGATTGCTCAACAATACTTTTGTTAATGAAAACTCTCTAACAAGTCACTAATACTTTTGTTTGTAAAAGAACCTTTGAATCCTTCTTGCGTTTGTTAACAAAAATACATTTTCCTATTCCTGCTCCCCCGTGATTGATTTTCTTAAAATAAAAACAATTTAATAGTAATGCCACTTAATTTGTTAAAAATATATATTAGAGTTTAAGAACTTTTCAATGCTTTTTTTTGGGTGTGGATCACGTCTAAATTTGAGTTGAATCTAAAAATAGCACAATAACCAACACTATAAAACATCATGAATCCCCCAATGATCAAATCACTTTTAAATTTGTCAACACATTTTTAAAAGAACAAAAAAGCAAAAATAAAAAGATATTATCACCATGGCTAGCGCAAGAAGTTTGGTAGCCAAGGCAAACAATACTAATGTAGGCTCATTAATCTTAATGGTCTTCGTGCTATGTTCTTGCGTAGCTAATGGTGAATATCTCGGTGGCCGTCGTGGCCTTGCCGCTGCTGCCGGCAACCCTACGGTCTTTGATATTACGAAAAACGGAGCAGTGGCAGATGGTACCACCAATTCTTTCAAGGTAGAGATTTCTTTAATTTTAAGGATTAGCTTGAGATTCGCTTCATAATTTACTGGTTATTATTAGTAAAATACACACGAGACGAAAAAATAATCCAATAATAAATGGTTTCTTTCTTCTAACAAATTTGTACTACAGGCATTTTTAGACACATGGATCCAAGTGTGTGCCAGTCCTGTACCAGCAACGCTACTTGTCCCTAAAGGAGAGTTCTTGACTGGTCCAGTGATTTTTGCTGGTCCATGCAAGAGCAAAGTGACCGTCGAAGTTCAAGGCACAATTTTCGCTACACCAGCCGGATATGCAACTCCTGAATGGTTCTTATTCGAACATGTTGATAATGTCGTCCTCACCGGACCCGGCACATTCCACGGCAAAGGTGAAGACGTATGGAAAGCAGATGGCTGTGGCCAACAAGCCGTCTGCAATCTTCCTCCAACGGTAAGAATATAAGTTAATAATAAGATCATTAAACTTTTAAATATAAATTTTTATACTGATCATACGTGTACATGCATGCAGTCTCTAAAATTTAGAAACATCTTAAATCTTGATATTTCGGGCATTAGCTCGGTCAACGCAAAGGCCTTCCACATGTTCTTGGTGAAAACTACGAATGTCAAAGTCAACAACATCAAGCTTATTGCCCCTGCGGAAAGTCCTAACACCGATGGTATCCATCTGAGCAATGCGGTCAACGTTCACATCATTGACAGTGTAGTAGCGACAGGAGATGACTGTATATCTGTTGGTCGTGGTTCCACCAATGTAACCGTCGAACGCGTGATTTGTGGCCCAGGACACGGCCTAAGTGTCGGTAGTCTTGGAAAGTATCCCAACGAGGAGGACGTTAGCGGCATTCACTTTAGGAACTGCACCATGAAAGATACCGACAATGGTCTTAGAATCAAGAGTTGGGGTGGCTCGTCTCCAAGCACGGCTGTGGACATCACCTATGAAGATATTATTATGACAAATGTCAAGAACCCAATCATCATTGACCAAAACTACGGCACAAGAGGCGGAGTAAGTATATACACCCCAGAAAATCTTAAATCAAAACTTATACTAATTGATCACTTGATCATTCAGCAGTTTATAAAATATAAATTTTTGTAGGATTCAAATGTTGCCATAAGCAATGTGTTGTTCAAGAACGTAAGAGGAACAACAATTACAAAAGATGAAGTTCAGATCATGTGCAGCAAATCAGTACCGTGCAAAGGAGTCAATGTCGTTGACGTGAACTTGGACTACGTAGGAAGCCCAGGAGGACATCCCTCGGCGTCAGGAGGTTTGGTCGGAGCTCTTTGTGACCACGCCAATGTTGTCTTTGGTGGAAAACTTAGCTTCCCTTTGCCCAAATAAGCTTTTTGGTATAAATAATTTAATGTTGAAAAACATATCAAAAGTTTCCACAAACATTTATTTTGTTATGTTTGTGAGTTAGTTTGATAGTTTATCAACAATAATTCATTCAATGAATGTATGACCTTTTGATATTTTATTCTATGACTATGATTTTTCTATTTTTGTGTGGTAATGATACAATAAACAGACCTTTCAAGTGATTCCTTGAAAACTTTGTGGTGGTTAAACTATATTTAAAAGCACGAATCAAAGGAACCAAATAAAAAATAAAAACATCAGCTATCTGTAGCCTGAAAAATATCAGCTATCTATTTAAAGCACGGACCAAAGGAATCAAATAAAAAATAAAAAAATAAAAAAATAAAAAAATAAAAAAATAAAAACATCAGCTATTGTAGTATGAAAGCTTGCTTTGTTTAATAAACTAGTTGCATATTCCCCGCGCAAGCGCGGGGCCGGGATCATTATGTTTGCGTGTATTTTTTTTTTATTGTTGGTTTAGTGGATTCTTCTAATGACACCAATTAATAATGAAATGGAAAATTTCATGTTTTTATATCGTATGTCAAAACTTGATATAATTCTATATTTATAGTATTTATATTTC